TAACCCAGTCGACAGTACTATCATTTATATTAGATTACAGTACAATGTTATAGGAAATGTCTGGAATGCCCCTGATTAGTGATGGGACACCCAGACTACTTAAAACACCAAATAAACTTAGGCTCAGTACATAACAACTTAAACACAAATACAAGCTAATAAGAACACTTATCAGTCGAACCATCAATACATAAAACCCTTCAACCTAACAGTTATTATGGGCTTTGATTCCAAATTGTGAAAATTTGTTATTGCTAGGAGGTTATTTTCGGAAGCTATAAAAAAAAAGCTTCCAAAATCTAGAAACAAGTTGCCATCTCAGTGGAAACCACTATTTTTACCTATTATTGATATAATATGCAGAAGCCACTCCTGAAAATAATAAATAAATAAAAGAAGAATTGATTCCCACTTCCCACTATATTCTGATTGTGAAAATGACAACAATACCCATTTTCTTGAGAAGGCATCCTCAAAGAAACAACCATTTTGGCCCATTTTTTCAGAAAATTTCCTCAAGCAAGTGACCACATTGGAGAACACCACCCACACAAGTTGTTATATATTGGTCAAGTAAGTCCAGAATATGTCTGTAACTCTGTACATGGACTTGGTCATTCTTACAAGTTGAAGTTAAACTACACCAGTTAACTTTGGACAAACATATTAAAAAATAAGGATGCTAACATAACCATTTAAAAAGAATTAAAATAATGATGAAAACAAAAGAAAGGCTCAGCATCATCAATGACCTTTTCATAAACGAGTTTAATTCAGCCCATGAAATGCAAAACATGCTGATTGTGCATATTAAAGAAAATAAGGCTGCCAAGACTACTAGTTAAAAATAGAGAAAAATGATGAAAATAAAAGATGGGCTCCAGCTAATCAATGACATTTCATGAATGACTCCAATTCAGCCTATGAAATGCAAAACATGCTGATCATATAACTTGATTAAGCCTTATTTGGAGGTTCAGCTACAGAAAATCGTTTTCATCATTCCACTCTATCAAATTGATCGTATGGCAAAGAAAAGATTGATTCTATCATTAACCAAGTGTTTTCTATATATTGAAAATTGTTCGAGTTAGTACTTGGTCCACAATAAGTAAGTCAATTAACAACTTAAAGATTGGTGACCAAAATAAGGCCTGGGAAATTAGTTAAAATCAGTCAAAGTATTCACAAGCCAAACAACTGCAAGAACTGAAAAATGAAAAGAAAAAGGAAGGATACTAATATAATGGTTTTACCTCAACAAAAATCTTAAGGATGATTTGATATGTCAAAGCTGAAGGTTCAGGTCCTGAAGTTTGCATCCTTCTAAACATTGTTTCTGCTTTATTATATTGGCCTCCTCTTCCATATGCTTCCATCAAAGCAGTATGGGATATCACACTTGGTGGATATCCCTTCTTATTCATGTAGCTCAGAAGCCTCTCTGCCTTGTTGAACTCTCCTTGTTTTCCATAAGCTGTGATAAGCATTAGGAAATCCATTTCACTAAATTCCCACCAATGCTGAGTTCTGAGCCATTCAAGAATCTAAAAGAGAAAGTGAATCAGTGCACAATAAAAGTAAACGAAAAATAAATGATTCCAGAATATTATAAAGCATTTACAGAAATCATACTTAGAAGTTTCTTGTTCATCACATACAAATGAACCATCACAAATATCAATTTAAACAACACCCTAAAACAGTTATTATAATATATTTGGGGAATGTTGATGTCATTACCTCACTGACGAGGTTCCATTTCTTTAGCTGCTTGAATCTCACTAAGGTACCCAGAACAAGGTCCCTAGGAAGAGCCTCATTTTTGGCCCTCTTGTTTCTGAGGATTGAGACTGCTGAACCCACCTCATCGATTTCCCTCATTAATTTTCTCCAGTTCTTCTGATCTGCTTCATCAGCTGCATCTTTAAAAACTTCCACTTTCTTCCTCCTCTGCATGAACTTCCTCGGTGCTAACATACCAAGGGAAATTACCTTTCCTCTTTTATGGATTTTAATCTCGGGAAGTGATGGATGGCCAAGCACTTTTACTTTTCTGGAAATATACATAAAAGGCCCATATGGAATCACCACACAACCATAAAGAAGCACCCCAAAATTCCAAAACTAAAATGCATTTGACATGCTCTTCCAAGAAATAGAAACCAGATTATACACTGTTAATACCAAAAATGACGAAAACCACTATATATCTCACAAAATTCACACGGTATAAAGACGTAAATTTCATTCCCTCGTTGACAAATGAAGTCTCAGAAACATAATAAAAAAAATGAGAAACATATTCTTGAGCAAGAAACCATGGGCCATTTCCGAAACAATCAATATAAACAGGCATGAAACAAGCAAAGACTTCATAAGGAATCGAGTGGGAACATTACATGAGCAATACCCCAAAATAATTCTAAGGTTGAACAAAACAAAATTCACTAGAGTGAAGTAATAACAACTGATTACAACAACCTGCAAAACCGTAACTCGCATGGTAGATTATGAATTCAAGGAAAATAAACAAAACCCATTCATACTATTCCTAGTTAAAACCAAAAAGTATAAGCTTTTCCTTCAAAGAGTAAAACCCAATTAGGAGTAAAGAAATATTTCAACATAAGAATTGCATAGCAGAGAATACTCATTTCAAAACTCAACAATAAATTACAAATTAAAAATATCAAGATAAGCAAAAAGGCAAAGCATAATAGAACACGGGCAAATATAAACATTCACTGAAAAGAAAACGAGAAAGAAAAGAGCAGATTAAACAATGAAGAAAACCCAGATGTAGATTCGAAAATTACCTTATACTAGAGGAGAAGGAGAGCAAAGAATGCGATTGGATTGCTTCCATTTCTGCAACTACGAACGTTTCGCTGACCAAGGCAAACTCCACTCTGCCTTATCAGCTTTCCCAAAGGACGTCTAAAACCCAAAACCTCTAGTCGCCAACTCAATGCCAACACCAACAACCTTGTAGTAGTATGAAATATTGAAGATTCATCCTTCCTCTGTCTAAATCGTGACACGTGTTCACAATGATGCTGCTTCCGTTTGGATAAAACGGTCTAACCGGATTTGTTCTCACATCCAAGGTCAGACTCTAAACTCCGTGAGAAGCCTTCCGTCGGGTACTTGGGTAAACGGGCACCCACGAAAACTATTGGCTGTGGTCTAATGACAAACAGGACTAGGGATGCAACTTGGGCGGGCCCAACCCGAGCCCGAATCGGCCCAGCCTGAAATTTTATACGGGCTGGGCTTGGATATTTGGGCTGGACTCAAGCCCAAGAAGTCCATAGACCAAACCAAGCCCAAGCCCAACTCGAGTGCATCAAATTATAGTGTAGGTTGGGCTCGGATTGAAAAGACCAGGCTTGATCTTGGGCTTAGACCTTAAGTCCAAATTTTAGTGTCCGGCCAAGGTTGACCATAAACCCAACCCAACCCGCCCGACTTGCACCCCTACACAACTACTCATTATTGGTTCAATTTGGGGCCTTCAAGCAGGCTTCTCAATGATACCCAAAAGATCCCATTATTTTCGAGTTTATATAATCAGATCCGATTATAAATATAATATTTATTTATTTTAATATATAAATTTTATATAATTATATTTAAAATTATAAAAATGTATATTTTATATATGAATTTATATATTTATATATATATATATATATAAATTCAATATGTTCTTTTACATTAATTTATTATATATAAAAGTTGAAAAGTAATTAACTTTCTTTTTTTGTATTTTGAAAAATTAAAGTAGAGTTAGATTAAACCTGAATCTGATTCGAGTCCATTAGAATTTGAATTTGAATCCGAAGTCTTCAAATCTGATCGAATTTGGATGCAAGTTTTCAATAGTCGGATTGGATTCAAATTTTGTCAAGTGTGATCCAAATTCAATCTGATTACATCCTTACTACTGCCAGGGGTCACAAATGATCATTTTAGTCTAGCTTGAAAAGCTAGCCTGGCTCATGAAATTCCAAGCCTAGATTTAGTGTTTGGGCCAATACAACCTACATGTATTTTTGCGTTTTTTTTCTTTTGAAAACCCAAGAGTGAATTCATTGCACTAAATCATTTAATAGTGTAAGTAGTAGAAAATTCATAATCGCATACCATGTGCACAGTCCCAAAACATTACATGCAAATTTAGATATGCATGCTCTTGCGTTACCTATTCAATGAAAGAATTATATGCAAATCATTGTTTTAAAAGGCTTTAAACATTGAGGAATATTGAGGTGTACACTTTGAGGCAAGACAGATTTTGCCTCAAGGCTTAAGACCTTGTCAATTTAAGGCATATGCCTTAAGCCTCACTGAGGCACAAAAAGGAATAAGCCTCAAGAATCAATGATTATATAATAATTTAATACAAAAATATATTTTTATGCATATTTATGGTTCAAAATATAAGAAAAAACACTTTAGTAATTATGGACAAAAACAAACTCACTGATTGAAAGAAGAAAATAACTTTTGTAGATTGATTGTAACCGAGATTTCAATGTGAATCAACCCCTCTTTGAGTCTCTAAGACCTAACTTCCTCCTTCATTTGATAGAAAAGAGAAAAAAGAACTCTTATTTTTGAAAGAAGAAAGAAAAAAACTCACATGTTCAAGACTAAACATTTAATTTTTTTCTTTATGCTTTCTTTTATTACTAAAAGGTTCTTCTAAAATAGAAAATTTTAGGGTAGCCCCATACCCCTCTTAAATAAATAATATTATGTTAAAACAAAGTACTTGTACTAGAGAGCTTTTACTTTAGACAAGTGGCATCTTATATTCTAAAGAAAGAGTATATCAAGAGTATTTATTCCCACTCTCAAACAAAATCTTCCTTCCTCGTACATGTGTCTATCCACTCCAATGATAATTACCTTGTACATGAATCTTTCCGGATCTCTCTCTATTTATTTCTCTCTCTCCCCTGTGAGATTTAAAAGATAAATCAACGGTCGTTTTTACTTTCCATTTTCTCGGATTCTGTTCATGCGCCCAACCAAACACGCTTCTCTCTCTCTCTCTCTCTCCCTCTCCCTCTCCCCCCCCCCTCTCTCTCCAGATATCTCTTTACCCATTTTTTTACTCTTACGTAATGAAGGGCCCATTTTATGATCTTTCCTCTGTAATTCAAGTATTCAACTATTATTGCAATTTATCCATTCGTCCATTTCTGTCTTTCTTCAGGCAATGCAGATGGCAACTTAGGCATATCCAAGTTCTTGGGTCTAGAAGTATAATTTGTTGAGAAAACCCAACTTGTTAGATCACCAATCGAGATATGGGTAAGGATGAAGGTGTCTCTTATTCCTGATTTTAATATTCAAGTTTTGAGCTTTATACGTAGAAAGAGAAAAAAAAATGTTTTGAGCTTTATATGGTTCCATAAACAGATACATAAATCCTAGAGAGATACATTATGTTTGTATTTGAATCTTCAAATTTCCTCCATTTTTCTAATAAATTCTTTTATAGTTTTTGCTTGTTTTTTTTATCTTCTCTTTCATTATATTGGTTTTTGGTTAATGTAGTGGCATGATGAATGTTCATACTCCCTATATTAATTTTATTTCCTTTAAGATTTTTTATGTGATTTGACTAAGGAAGCCTTTTAGATACATTTATCTTGTTAACTTGTCATTTCATAATGTTTACATTGAGTTGTAGTTACTATGGTTTCTCTTTCCAATTCGTGGAGAAGCTTTTGTTATTGGTATTCTTTAAAAGAATTGTAGATTAATTTCATAGTGAATTTTGTATTGAAGGGAAAATCCTAATTAGGATGGTCACAGTAATCATGTTCCTCATGCCTATAAAATGCTATCCACTCTTTTCTTTTTCCTTGTGTGTGTATGTGTTCATTTCTTCTACACGGAATACCCAGAACAATAAAAAATTTAGATATATCTTAATTTTTTCAACAATGATATAGTTGTTGGATTGATGAATTCATTATTGTTTCTTAGAGCTCGCCGCTTCATTTGACATATTTTAAAGATTTTAATTTTGTAATTTTATCAGGAAATGGGCTAGAAAATATCATATTTTATGCTAATGAATGAATTATTTGCAATTTAGAAGCAAAAGGGCATAGAGAGAAAAAAAGATATTTGTTCACAATAGTTACTTAACAATAAATTATCAAATAAATACTACATTGTATTCTAGACATTTGCAAATTAATTAGTTTCTTATAGATTTTTTACCATCCAAAGAACACTAGAATTGCACTTCTTTTCTTAGTTGTTGTTAAGGCATTGCCTAAACAACAAAAAGCACAAGGTGGGTATCTTATTGTAATATCATTGCTATGGCTAAATCTTACTAATATGTGTGTTATTTCATTTTATTACATTTTGTATATTATATAATATCATTGAACCTTAAAATGATCCAAGGCTTTTGAAAAGGGAAAAAAAAAGAAGAAAAAGATAAAAAGGCTTCTTTTTTTTTTTTGCTTTTTCTACTCTATCTACATGTTAGATTAAATAAAATAATGGTTATTCCTATTTACAAACAAAAGTTTCCTTGCTTATAGATGTGTCTATCCACTTAAGTGATAGTTATCTCGACTCTTAAAAAGTTAGTGGTAGTTACCTCTATTAAAAATGAAGAAAAAACAAAAACTTAAATGAAATAGGATCCATAAAATGGGTTTATTTAGAAATAAAATTTGATTTAATTTTTTAAATTAAATAATAAATCCATATATAAATAATCAAATAAAACAATAACAAAAATTTACAATATAAAAAATGGGCATGAAACAAAATTTATTGGAATACATAAATAAAAAAAGACTAAAATATTGGCCCATACTTAATAAAGGTCATTCTCTTGCTATCATTACAAAACTAAACTAACCTTGCATTTTCATGAACCAAGCATACTTAAATTTGTACTGGTCATTTCTATATTTGCACTGGGGGGGGCTCAGTTGGTATGTTAGTTTGTTCTAGCATAGACATGGATTTCATTCTTGCAACCACCAACTTCGGGGAGGGGGTTATTAGTGTGGTGCATGTATCACTAAATACAAAAAAAATCAATACTTAAAAAATTTAAAAAGTTCTTAATTTCTTTTTGATAAATTAAGTGAGATATTTATCTTGTTATTCTAAATCTAACATCCCAAGTTTGTTATTTTTCTCATTTTTCTTCCTAGTGGATTTATTTTTTATTGATTTTTTTCATAGATCAAATAAGCTAAATCGTTTCCTTTCTTCTAAATTGTCAGGTTATTTGAATAATTCTTCAGATATTTACTTTATTTTTTATTGATTTTTTTCTCATTTCCTTTCTCATGTATCACTATATGGATGATTCTTCAGATATTTACTTTATTCTAAATTAGTGTCTAGTTATTTGAATAATTCAAGAATTTTCATATTTTGAAACTTGTAATGTAAAATATTTATAATTGTGAGTTGCTTACTTATTATTTTATTTTACCTTTAAAAATTAGAATTATTTATAAATTTCTATTTTATGGATATTTGTACTTTATATCATTCTAACTTGGTATATAGTATGATATTTTTATCATTTATAAAGTTTGATTAATTTTTCTCCCAATGCCTCAACGCTTTATACCTTACCTTTTTGGGCATTTACGCTTTTAGCCTTTAAACCTTAATGTAGAAAGGCTTGATGCCCAAATTGATAGAAAATTGAAACCCTTTTTAAATGCCAATCAATGCCTCCACCATCATTAATAAATTCTTGTTCACATTAACATAACTTGTATCTATTAATATACATTAGATATACGTATTTGTATATATTATTTTACCTTATATTGTATATTATATATATAAAAATTTTATAATATGACACACATACTTCATCTTATATTTTATTTTATATTATGTAATGGATAAAATAAATTTATATAACATTATATAACATACAATATGAAATAGAAAACTA